ATGGCGTAGAGGCCGGGGGTGATGCAGTCTGCCCCGGGGCTGCACCAGCCACTGAAGATGCCCCACTCGTGGTGGTAGAATGCCAGCTGCTCCACGGCCACGCCCAGCAGGCGCCCGGCAATGGCCCCCACGGCCATGCTGGGGATGAAGAGCCCCGAGGGGACCTGGGGAGACACCAACGCCCCGTCCCTCAGACACCCCCAGGGTGGAGCAGAGGGTGGAGGCGGGACCCAGCGCTGGCACGGGTGCCTTGCTCTGCCAGCTCTGCCCCTGCTGCTGGCCCAGGACTCCCAAAGCTTTTGAGGTGGGAGCATCCCCCCCACTTCCTTCAGGCATCTGTCACAGAGCTTCCTGACAGGCCTTGATGTACGTCCAGTGATCACAGAACCACTGAATGCCTTGGGTGGAAAGGGACCTTTCCAGTTCACCTCATCCAGCTCCCCTGCAGTGAGCACGACAGCCTCTGAATGTCAGTGACCACAGCAACCTCTGTGGTGGGGTCACCTTTCTGGAAGGACCCCTGGAGCACCTGAGGCAGGGGGGGGTGGTCAGCTCTTTTTTTTCCCACTGCAGGAAAGCTCAGACCTGGTTGCTCTATCCACAGCCTGGGAAGCTGCCACCAAACCAGTGCATAGAATCACTTGGGTTGGAAGAGACCTTTAAGATCATCAAGTCCAAACAGTGACTCAGCACTGCCAGGTCCCCACTAACCCATGTCCCTCACACCACATCTCCAGAGCTTTGAGGCTCCCCCAAGGCTGGGGACTCCACCACTGCCCTGGGCAGAACCACCCGACCAAGGCACAGCTATAAATAAGCATTTACAAATGAAGACATCGATTGCTTTGCCATTAGCTCTTGCCTATCTATCAAAAAGGCTTAAGGTGGGACAATTTAGAAGCACTCTGTGCCTGGAGAAGGAGCCATGAAGCCCCGTGGACACCAGCCTCAGTGGCTGCAGCAGGCTCAGAGGTTCCTCCTGCCCTCAGGCCTGAGCTGCAGAACAAATACTCGGCGTCTATCGCCTCGGCCCCTTCTTAAGAGGAAAACATGTTGACTGAGCAACTCAAACTCTGCGACCCGCAGAGAAGACCGTGAGCTCCTTTGTGGGCAACTCTCACCTTCATGCCAAAGGTGAAGATGGTGATGAAGACTTTCATGACCAGGGCCAAAGCCAGCTGCCACATGGCGACGTAGACGCCGGGGCCGGCGGCGCGGTCCGGCAGGTCGTCCCCTTTGGTGCTGTTGAAATCGTTGACGTACTCGCAGAGCTTGGAGGAGTCCAGGACCCCGCAGTCGTTGAAGAGCTCGGAGATGAGCTCGCTGGTGCTCATCCTGGTGTACTCGTTGGGGAAGGCCAGGAGGGCCGTGAGGGCCGTCACCACCAGCACCTCCAGCACCGGGTACTTGCCCAGCCTGGTCGTCTTGCGCCGCCGGCACCACGCGATGTTGCTGCGGATGAAGAAAGCTCCCCAAAGGCCACCAAATATCCCCAAGAGGATGAAGGGCACGAGCTCCAGAAGGTGCCAGGGCATGTGGAACTCCACGTAGAAGAGAACCAGGCGGCTGTTCCCGAAGGGGTTGATGGAGCGCAGGGTAAACGCCGCAACCAGAGCGGCGAAGAAGGAGCGCCACAGGGTCTTCAGAGGGAAGTAGTAGCTGACCTGGGAAGGGGAAGAGAAGCTGGCTGGGTCCCCTTGGCACTGCCCAGGGCACTGACCACTGCCCAAACCCCCTGTGTGAGCGGGTGCCAGGAGCAGGGTCGTGTGCCAGCTCCCCAAAGTGGAGGCCCCTCACTCGGGTGGCAAAAGCTGTCGCCAGTCAGGCAGGAGAAGTACCAGCCCTGCGTGCTCTGCCAAGCCCAGAAGTGCCAAATGACAGCACATGCCACAGCTGCCACCACGACTGCTGCTCAGCTGAGCAAAGCCACCCAACCCATCCAACCCCATCCCACCCCATACAACCCCCTCCCATCCCATATCCCACCCCCGGAGCGAAGCCCTGAAGTGATCAGAGGTGATCTGTTCCCTGTCTGGATCAAGAGAACAAGGTCTGGCAGCTCCTTAGGAAGAAAAGGGGCTTGATAAATAGAGATTAGAAGTCCCCTGGGGAGGAACAGGGCTGGGTAAGGCAGGGTTAAAGTTTCTCCCTGGCTGGCAGGAGAGAGCAGAGCTGTGCAAAGGTGTGGCTGTGAGCAGTGATGCCAGGCACGGGCAGGCTGAGGGAGACTGGCAGCTTTCCTGCAAAGCTACAGATAAACACCATCCAAAAAGAACTTCTCCAGCAGTGGTAAGAATTACCTGGAACCCCAATAAGCTTTTAGGTTGCTCGGCCTTGCAAACACAGCACCGACCAGAATTCAACAGGGTCTCCTTTCCACACCCAAGCAGTTAGGAGGGGGCTGCATTTTTAAACCAGCAGGGTCAGTCCTTGCAAGAGAACAGCTGGCCAAGAGTGAAGAGAAAATGCTGCTGTTACCTCCTCCAGGCTGAAGAGCACTCCTCCGATGGGCGCCCCGAAGGCCACAGACACCCCAGCAGCTGCTGCTGCCGAGAGAACCTGGGGGGAACCAGACAGAGAGCCCACATCAACCCCCCCTTCACTGGCTTCTGCCACTCCTGTGCCCAGGGAGCGTGGTCAGGCAGGGCTGGGAGGGTTTAAATGGGGGTGAGGCAGCTCCCTGGGCAGAGGGGCTATTGAGCAGCTGCCCAAGCATCACTGGTGGTGTTTCAGAGTCAGCCCAAGTGGCATCGCTGCCAATTGCCCTTTCCTGTTCCAGCTCTTTCACACTACACCTTCCTAAAGCTTTGGTAAACCTGCAGAGCAGTAACTTCCCCTCCCAGAACACACAGACCTCTCCCACGTTTGCCTGCCTCTCCTTCACACCATTTCCCAGCAGAAGGTAGCACAGTGGGGCCACCCAAAAACCCCAGCAGCTCCCTGCCTGGATTCTGTGGGGTTTGGTTTAGCAGAAGGTAAACTGGCCAATGTGATGCTACACACTTCACATCAACCTCTCTCCAGGGACCTCTCGAGAAAAGCCTCACAACACTGAGGAAACAACTTCAGGTTGGATCTTAGCTGGGAATGGTGTAAGAACCAAGCTTTGTCTCCAAAAGCAAAGCTCTCCAGTCAACTCCTACAGCCAAGTCCAGGTCCCTCAAACAGTCTCAATAGTTCAGGAGTTGCCTGGCAAACACAAACCAGTGCTGCACAACTGAGTCCACAGCAAGTTAGTGCCAGGGAACACTCCTCAGAAGTCAGATGACAAGGAAAGGGCCTCAAGTTGCCCCAGGGGAGGTCGAGGTTGGACCTGAGGAACAATTTCTTGCCCCTGAGGGTTGCCCAGGGCAGTGGTGGAGTCCCCAGCCCTGGAGGGGTTCCCAAGCTGTGGAGATGTGGGGTGAGGGACACGGGGCAGTGGGGACCTGGCAGTGCTGGGGAACAGTTGGACTCCATGACCTTAAAGATCTCTCCCAACCAAACCAATTCTCTGACGCTACGATGCTCTGCCCTGGGGAGATGCTGCAGTGTCACCTCCTAACCAGCACAGGTTTTGCTCCAGTGAGGTGCTGCACTGAGGCACAACAAGAAGGCACCAAACCAGCCAGGAAGCAAACCCCAGCCAGGGTGTGGAGCCAGCCCCACTAGCCCCCCCTGCACCCCCGCCCCCCCACTCTCCCCGTACCTCCCTGCGCTTCGCTTCGTTCTTGCGGTACTTGGTGAAGAGGTGGCACAGGATGTTCCCACAGCAGCAGGCCACGTGCACCAGGGGCCCCTCCTTGCCCAGGCTCAGCCCAGAGGACACTGCCAGCACCAGGGTGATGGTTTTGATGATCAGCGTCCACTTGCCCAGGTAGCCTCTAATGATGAAACCACTTAAGATAGTTTTGATCTGGAAGTCAAGCACACAAAGCTCTACAGGCTTTCAGTCAAGCCCTGGGCAGAGCTCCTGTTTTACTCAACCTTCCCCAGCAGCTTTCAGAGCCCCCACACCAGCTGTCAGAAGTCACGTAAAGTCAGTCAAACTACATCTCTGTGCAAAGGCAAAGGAGCCATTTGAGTCCTTCACTGTCCCTGAATGAGCTGAGGCCAGCTTTTGTAGCCTGTCTGACACACAGAGTGCTTCTGGTCATACAGTAAATGCCAAAACATTCCAGTTTTTCAAGGGACTGCACAGAGACTTAAGTACTAGATACGTTTCAGGAACAATTTGGAAGAAAAACATACATTAACCCACCATCTACAGCACAAGAAGTTCCTTTCCCATGGCAGGAATGGAGGGTGGACCCCTACCCTACCTTAAAAAAACCCCAGCCCCCTTCCATTCGTACTCACCTCTGGGATCCCAGAGCCACAGGCATAAGGAGCAAACCCCTTCACAAGTAACACAGCCAGAAGGGAGAACAACAAGGCCCAGACAACGTACATGAAGTAGTTGAGAATATATGCAAAAGCCCCCTGAAAGGCAGAGAAAGTTACCCAAATTAGCTCCTTTCATCTGGGACCACACCAAACCTGTGCAGCGAGGCAGCACACGGGAACAGCAGGGAACCTCACCCGTGGCTGTCAGCCAAAAATGAAGAGAACAACAGTCTGAGGTTTCAAGGACAAGTTACACATGCTGGGCTGTGGGATATGAACCAATAGCACCTCTGAAGACCACTATATGAAATAACAAACAAGGTACACCAGTAGCTTGCTACTGGGATGAGTGTTGTCCCAGCCAAGCGAGCTGCAACTCTGGGCAGAGCTGCCAGAAACAAGTCTGGCACTCCTCTAGGACATCCATGGGCAAGATGTTCTCCAGGCAGCAACCTCAGACACACGACCAAAACACTGCACTCATCCAGGGGCCAGGGGTTGGCTTCCCCTCATCCCCTCTGAGGACAAGGCATACATCCCTCTTTGGAGTTTATTTACACCCTCAGAAGACCCCAGCAGTGAACGTTAAACAACTGGGAGCTTGTGCTTCTGGCAGATACATCCAGCAGGCTCATGAGGCAGGAGCCAGGCTGGGGAAATGGGACATTCAGCAGCAAAACCAGTGGTAGGCACATCACCTCTCCATGGCCAAGGATCAGCTGGGACCAGCTCATCCACTCGGGGCACTTGTCTCTGTCCGTGAAGGTCGTGTTGGATTTCCAGCAGCAGTGCTCGTGGTTAAACCAGAAGCCTGCCAAACACACTCCTTCTTTCAAGTCTGTCATCCAGTGGGCAGAAATGTCGATCAGACCCGCTAAGGAACCTGGGTTAGAGGGGAAGAGAGAAAAAAAATCATAATTGCCTTATGCAGACTCAAATTCCTGAAGGTTACAGTCTGCTCTGCTAATTCTTCACTCCCCTACCCCAAACAGAGCAATACTGGTAGTACTGCCCACAACTGACTTATTCTACAGAGAGCTAAGTGGGAAGATTTGCCCAAGTATAATACTTAATTCCTTTTAATACTTATAAAACATTTATTGACAAGAGTAGGTCAGTGTCACTGTCAGTTCTGTCCCCAAACCAGGACAGTCAGGAAATAGTATTGCAAAGGTTGCCCATCACAAACAGCATTCACACCCACCAGAAATGAATTCCTCTCAATTATGTGGAAAGAAGATTTATTAAATAAAACCCAGGAAGTGATCTGAGAGGCAGGGAGGGACACACAGCATTGCTGGAGGACACACAAACTGTCCCCAAGCTCCAGTGCAAGAGCCAGAATCTGGGAGCTATGACAGGAAGACTGTGGCAGGAGTAACTCTGAATTTGGAGAAAATATCTCCAAATCCAATTTAAGAAAAAAAAAAAGAGGGAAAATTCCAGCCATGCCAAGTGAAACAAGGTGAGCAGAGTCGGCACAGAAACAATCCAGATTTCAGAAGAGGAATCTTCAGGCAGCTTAAGCTAACTGCTGAGTCAGCTCTGTTCTCCACGAAAACACAGCGGCCAGGAGCAGAGACCTCTGGCCTGTGTGAGCAAGGGCAAGCTCCAGAGGCAGCAATAAACATTTAGCAGATCTCCCAGTTAATGGCAAACCGGCTGGCAGCTCTCCTGTGTAAACATTGCCAGCAGCTCTGATTTGGGCCTGGGGAGGAGCTGCCTGGCTGCCGGGAAGCTCTGCACCCAGCCGAGCAACTTCTGCTCCACCGGGACCAAAGTCTGCTCCTCAAGTCATTCAGAAGGTCTCAGGCAGCCAAGCTCTGAAATCAGCTGACTTCCAAGAACTACCTCACTTTTTCTAGCTAAGGAGAGTAGGAAAAAGCAGAAAATCTGGCTGGCAGTCCATGCCATTCACCTCTCCAGTGCCAACAGAGAGCACACAGCAAAGGCAGCCAACGTTACCCCTCCTCTGACCCAGCTCTGCGACCAGCTCTGCTGGGATTCACCTTCTGTGTCATTATCCCAGAGCTCTGAGCCAGCAGCAGACCCAGAGCAGTGCCCAGCACAGCCACAG